TTTTTGGTTTGAGTCGTACTTGAACCCTATTAATGTCTTTTGCATTATGCGGGGTCTACAATAGCAGTTGTAGAGTCGTAAGTCGTAGAAATTGACCAATCACAGTTGAAGTTTAGAAGAATAATTGACTGTGATTGGTCAATTTCTACGACTTAAGACTACGATTGCTATTGTAGACTTCGCATTATAATTACTTACGGCGATAAAACGTTTACCTGATGAATTGAAAACAGTTTACACGTTCCTTTTTTATACTCTGATGAACTATACTATATATAGCAGAGACAGTGATAGTGGCAATTTAATCTTTGATATTCCTGTTTGATTCGGTTTAAATTAAGCTAACCTTATTTGTAGTAATGTCTCTCATAATATTATGAATATTTGCTTGCATTCTTTGATCGACTTCTGTCTGTAGAGTTGACTAGAGAATTATAGATATTTATAAATTACCTTTGTAATTATCAGGATAGCTCTCCTCCCACATATAACACATTTGACATTATTTTATTCTTTCATGAACAGGTTGACGTTGCATGATTACTGGTGTATTTACGATAACAAAAGCCTAGTCCTTCTAAAGTTATATGTTTATAATATTGACAGTTAGCGTGGAATTTCACATGTTTTGGTGAAAAGTTTCGAATTTTATTCTACATTGGAATAATATCTTGATTTTATATATTTTTTGTTGTTGTTCTACACATAGAATATAAACAGAATTTTTGCTATATATAGTCCATCAGAGTATAAAAAAGGAACGTGTAAACTGTTTTCAATTCGGAATTTTTTAAATATTTTTATGTTTTCTTAAAGTTCGTTTATTTCTTTCTTTAGATCACCGAATAATTTCCGAGATATTTTATAGTTTATGTAAAATTATGTCAAACTAAAGTATCTCAATGAATAAATAATACAAAATCACCTAATCTATAACAATGCTCAAGCTCGTATGTAAACAAACACAATGATAACTTATTAAATATTACGAGGCCATGTGAAACGAACAATAAAAAATTATTATAAAACTTGGAAAAGTTTTAATTTAAAAAACCAATTACAAGCGTTTCGAACTATACTTAGTCTTCCTCAGTGCGCAATAAAACAATAATAAAACAATAATAAATAAAAAAATATAAATAATAATTCTAATAAAAAGTTGCAATACAAAGTCAAAATAAATTAGATAATTGTGTCAAAAATAAAGGCAAAATACGTTAACAATAAATTTAAATTATTAAAATAGTTCAACACGAAAAGTCTCAATTAGAAACAAAAATCGAATTAAAATAATTCATTCGGCTAATCAATCAATATTTTAAAATTAATATTACCTCGGAGTGGCACTTAAACATTACTCCAAACCAATCACTCATCGTTAGTCGGCGAAAGGCTATCAGTCCGGCAATGATCGTGTCCATCCTCTCCAAGTTTTTTAATATTTGTTATTATAAACTGAATTTAAAAATTTTATATTATAAAATAGAAATCCACTTATGTATATGTAAAAAATTAAAAATTACAAATTAAAAATTAGTTACTTGTTGCTTACAATTGTTCTGAATAAATTGAAATGACCATGCCTCTAATTGTTGTTGAACTTAGTATCTGACTGATGTCGAGTCATTTAAAAAGTTGAATAAATAGGTGTCAAGTCGCAAAACATAAACATTTTAATAAGTCTAAAAATTCGCTATTTCTTCTAGAATGTCAAAATAAGCGTTGTTGAGCAATTCGGTGTCTGTATTATTATTGTATTTATACCATGCTTTTGTTCTTTTATGTGTATCATCTCCGAGATAAGTATTTTATAATAGTTAGATTCAATATCAAGTATTTTGACGTTATCCCAATCAAAAACATGTTTTTTATCTACAATATGTTCAGAGATCATTGAATGCTTGGAAGAATAAAATTAAATGTTATTTATATGCTCCTTTAGTCTAGTACGTAATTTTCTTTTGGTTTGCCCAACATATGACGCTTCACAGTCTTTACAATTAATTTTGTAGACGACATTATTATTCTTATTATGTACATTTTTGTCCTTGTGGACTCTGATGAATTTGTTAAGATTATTTAGACAACGGTACCCCACTCTAAAATCTGATTTTTTAATTGTCGATGCCACTGTTTCAGAGATGTTATTAATATAGGGGATGACAAAAAATTTCTTATTATTTCCCTCTGTAATTTCTTTTGTTCTATTATTGTTAAGCTGCAAATTGTTTAATACTTTTATTCTCCTATTAATTTCTTTTAAAATTAAATGAATAGGGTAACCGTTGTCCAATAATATTTCAATACAAAGTTCTAGATTTTTCTTGTGATATATGGGATGAGATAATAACAATGCTCTATCAATGAGATTATAAATCACTCCTATTTTGTGGCAAATGGGGTGATTCGATAAGAAAGATAGTACTCTACCTGAACAAGTCTTTTTTTGAAACCAGTCCAAGTGTATGACGTTATCAATGATCTTAATGTTTAAATCTAAAAAATTTATGCTTTTATTAATTTCGTATTCAACCGTAAATTGTAGTCGTTGATGGTAACTATTAAACTTATTCAATATACTATCTATTTTATTCTTTGGTGCCACCATAATAATGTCATCTACATATCTATAATACATTCCGATATCAAAATCCAATGTGTTAATAATTGATTCTTCTAGATCCTGCATAACAATATTAGCAATTATTGGCGACAACGGGGAACCCATAGGCGTGCCATAAACTTGCTTGTAAACAATGTCATTAAAAGTGAAATGTGTTGACGACAATATAAATTTAACCATATAAATGAATTCATTTTTGGAATTAATGTATTTGTATTAATATCATTCCATCTATTGCTCACACTTTCAATTGCAAGATCTGGAGTAATGTTTAAGTGCCACTCCGAGGTTTTAATATTAATTTTAAAATATTTATTGATTAGCCGGATGAATTATTTTAATTCGATTTTTGCTTCTAATTGGGACTTTTCGTGTTGAACTATTTTTAATAATTTAAATTTATTGTTAACGTATTTCGCCTTTTAATTTTGACACAATTATCTAATTTATTTTGACTTTGTATTGCGACTTTTTATTAGAATTATTATTTATATTTTTTTATTTATTATTATTGGTAAGAGCAGTCGCCCGGAAAGTGAAAGACGCGGGTTCGATTCCCGCTTCAGCGACTTTTCGGACCTATATTTTTCGCGCCTATTTCTCCATATGTAAGTTTCGAGATTAATTTATATATGGAACTTTGTGATCTCAAACCAAGAGATACAGTTCCGAATAATTAATTTTTCGTTCTTTGGCTCTGTTGGCCGATTTAGAAAACATATTTATATTCTTTATATTGAGAGCCGATAAAAATATTTATTTCTGAGTTTATTATTATTGTTTTATTGCGCACTGAGGAAGACTAAGTATAGTTCGAAACGTTTGTAATTGGTTTTTTAAATTAAAATTTTTCCAAGTTTTATAATAATTTTTTATTGCTCGTTTCACATGGCCTCGTAATATTTAATAAGTTATCATTGTCTAAAGTATCTCATAAACTAATCACTTTTTCACCTTTCTACCCTCATAACTTTTTTTGTAGAATATTGCAAAAAATTGATTTATGTAAATAAAAAACTAGAATAATTCCATTTAAAAAATTCAATATAACCTTTATATAACCTTACCCAGATAGCCACAGTAATTATTATGACATCATTTTAATGTCAAAATGATGTCATAATAATTACTGTGGCTATCTGGGTAGTAATATCTAAGATCAGATTTATACCGCTAAATGGGTTCTTTTAAATACTACAATTTTTTGTTTAAAATATTTTTCTCGTAAAATGCTCTTCTTGTTTAAAATTTTTTTAATAATTATTTATCTCTGTTCTGTTGTGTTAATATTCAATTATTAAAATTATTTTGTGTTAGTAACGGGAGTGTAATTATTTCCGAACGTGAGCGATTAAAAGAGCAAGCAGCACTTCGAGATCTAAGCCTTCCCGAGAATGTTACATATGTATATGTATATACAATTAAATTATACACATGTTCCAATGTTTAATTCTTATAAACTACAAGTTTGTTTTGCTTACAAATAAAATTAAGTACGCAAAAGATATTACAGATTTGTTTTGTCTTTTGAGATAGATTATGGAAGCCCCAATTATCGATCCACTCATTTATCGAAACCTTCTAACTTATTTTAATTGATATAGTGATATAATAAATAACACAGTAAAATGTCGACATTAGGAAATGGCAGTAATCAAATATAAAATATTTTTTGCAAACGTAACATAAGTCTAACATAAGTTCTAGCATATATAAGTCATTGATTATAATTCGTAAATCTAAAGATTTATTAAAAATTCTATATTACATTATAAAACTAAAAAGAAAATATGTAAATTATTTATAAAATTTGTTAATACATACATTATTTTGAATAATATCGAATATTTCTTATTAATTTTTTTAGAAAATATTCTTTATAATCGTTATTTATAATAATTTTATAATTAAGATATATTTGTTCTTAATTATTATTTAGAAGAATTTAATAATTATAATAATTTAGGGATAGATATTTATAAATAATAGATATAATAATAGATATATAATATATATATATAGCACAATTATTAATATTAATATTTTATTTATAATTATATATTTATATAAAATTTATATATTATATAATAAAATGTACATAATTTATATGAACCACATATAGTAATAATATAATTTATATATGTATATATGTGAATTATTATATTAATTATCAATTTTTAATATATTATAATATAATATATTTATATAATATAATATATTTTATAATTTAATACTAAATATTTAACAATTATATTATAAAATTATATACTTATTATATAACATCAGATATTTTTAATACTATATCTACTTTTGTTATTTCTGTAATCGTATGCTATCATGTGCAATATGATTATCTGCTTTTAATTATCTGTTACAGCAGCTTCATTCGGAATACAGGAGCACGTACACATGGCACGAGTATACAGGACCGCATCAGGAGCACGCGGTTGTGCGACGCGCGCCACAACCGCCATTATCGAGTAAGTGTAACACTCGTAACAATTATGGTAAGATAACACAATACATATTTTTCATTGTTTTTTACTTTTAGCGAACGTTAATCTTAAACAGTAAAAATCGTTTACAATTTTCACATCAACAGAAAGTATGAAAATTTTATTTCCAGTGTAATATATATCACGTGTAATATAAGTAGGATTTTAATATAGTTTCTTTAAATTTATTGCAAATATATATTTGAAGAAAAAATATAGTCATGTTTTTGTTTTCAAAAATGTATTTTCTGGTTTTGAAGAATGTGTGATAAATAGTTTGTGATTTTATTACAAAATGTGTTCATATATATACATACATATATATATATATATATATATATATATATATATTGTATTTGAAAAAAATATATATATATACATATATTATATATACACAAGATGTTCAATTTTAATCGACTACTTCTACAAATTTTTTACTTTTGATTGTATAACAAAATATTTCAAACAAAAGCTGTTTGATTTAAAGGTGGACAGAAGATGACGCTATTGATTTTTTTCTATAGTGCGTTTCTCAAGATTATTTAAAGATTATTTGTTTTTTTTTTAAATGGTACTACTATAATTTTAAATACAAATCGATTTCTCGTAATTTTCTGTATAAAAGTAATAAGAGTAAGATGGCCAAAAAGTGAATAATTTATATTATACAGTATTTTATATTTATAAATGTGACACTAAAAAGGTACATAAACTATAAAATTTCATAAAATATTCATTTTTCGATGATTTATCTCAATATTTTGATGTATAAAATAATGAAAGGAATTGATTGATGTAAAGAAAACACATAATTGTTTCTAAGAAAAATATGTAGCTACTATAGTTGCAAATTATATACTTTTACGATTAAAATTTGAATTTAAAACACCTTGTATATACAGGGTGTTCCATTTTAACTTGGACAGTAAAATATCTGGAAAACTGAGCCCACCAAACAAAAATGTTTCAGACAAAAGTTGTATGGTTTCGAGAGAGACATAAGATGGTACCATTGGTTTGACCTTGAAGAGTAATTTGAAGGTGACATGAAGATTACTTTCAATTTCTTAAATAGAACCTACTATTTCTTAAAATATTAAAAACGTGTATTCGCTCGTCTATTGATTAAAACAAAATTTAGTATATAAAAAGGCCAACTAATCGAGCATTATTAGATGATATAAACTAAGTATTTATTCTATATAAGATAATACAGTACAAACGTTTCGACCGCACGCGGTCTTCTTCAGTATAGAAATTAAAAGTAGATGATCATAAGTGATTGTAAGTCGCAATTTTATCGCCGAATTAGTGCATGTCGAATTAAGTCAAATTACAAAACGTCACTATATTTCTTACGGATTGATCGCTTTATTGAGATGTTTGGCCGATCTCATAGGTTTCATCGTTAGTATGCGAGAAATTATTGTTGTCATAACACATTATGAGTAGTGAGATATAATAAATTAATAAAGTGTCAAAATATAAAAATTGGTCTTACGTGATCTGTGTGCTTACTTGTAATGTTTATCACTTCCCAACTAGACCGTACCAACGTAACATGACCTCTCATTTCCAAATGTACTCATTTTGTAATTATGTGTGTTTATATAGTTTAAGTGTGTTTAGGATTTTAACGATCTGTTTCTCTTGTGTGTTTTTTTATTATTATTACATGTTTGCTAGTTTTTCCAATATATCAAAATAAGATTCGCTAAGCAACTCGGTATCTCTATTTAGATTTAACCCCTTTTTTTGTTCCTTAATGTGTAACATCTCGGAAATGGGTCTTTTATAATAATTAGTTTCACTGTCTAAAATTTTAACGTTGTCCCAATCAAAAGAATGATGTTCATTTGATATGTGATCAGAGATTACCGAATATCTTGTCGAATTTAACTTTATGTTGTTAACGTGTTCTTTCATTCTAGTCTGCAATTGTCTCTTCGTTTGGCCCACATAAGAAGCGTTGCAATCTTTACAATTGATCTTATAGACTACATTTGACGTACATGGGTGTTCATTTTTATCTTTTTGCGTTTTAATAATTTTATCGAGTTTATTGATACATCTGTATCCTGTTATGAGTTCCGTATTTTTTACCGAAGAGACCATTTCTGAAATTTTATTGATATATAGGATAACAAAGAATTTTTTTAGTACTGGTCTTTCTTTTTCTGAGTTGCCTATTTGTCTTTTACTGTGTCTATTTAAGATACTTTTTTTGGAAATAAGATGCTCTATTCAATGGTTGATTTTATTAAAAATGAGATCCAGGGGGTAACCGTTGTTTCTTAATATGTCAATAATAATTAAAAAATTGTGGATGTGATAATAGTAGACATCTATCAACTAAGTTATAAATTATGCCGATCTTATAGTAAAGTGCGTGGTGTGAAAAGAAAAATAAGGTTCTTCCTGAAAAGGTATCTTTTTGATACCAATCTATATGTATCATATTGTTCGTTATTATAATAGACAAATCTAAAAAGTTTAAGCAGCGGCCAATCTCCTGTTCTACGGTGAATTTTAATCTGTCGTGGTATTTATTAAAACCATCAACAATCCGAATCATGTTCTCACTAGAAGTGGTTAACAAAATGTCATCGACGTATCGGAAATATAATGTGCATTTCGTGTTTAACGAATTCAAAACTGTGTCTTCTAAATCCTGCATCACTATGTCGGCTATAATCGGAGATAATGGAGAGCCCATGGGAGTCCCATAAGTTTGTTTATAAATCTTATCTTTGAAGGTAAAATAGGTGGATGTTAAAATAAAATTAATCCCTTCTATGAATTCTTTTTTAGGTATTTTTGTGATCTTTGTGATGTGTTCTCATCTATCATTAATATCATTAATTGCGAGATTTAGAGGCACGTGAGTAAAGAGTGAGATGAATAACTCGTTATCAATCCTTTTGCCAGAAAGCAAGCTGTACAAATCAAAGCTATTGTTAATATAACTCTTAGCTCTAGGAATCCTAGTTAATAAAATTTTATGCATAAACGAGGCAAACGCATACAACGCAGTATCAACTAATGAGACAATGATTCTAAAAGGAGTGTTTTCTTTGTGAATCTTAGGTTTCTACTATTTCTCGTTACATATTCTTGTAGGTTATCTCAAGAGCTTTCTAAAACATTATAATAAAATAATTTTTCATTGAGTAATTTTCGAGTTATGAGGCTCCAAAGCAGTACTTTGCAGTACTTTGACATAAAGTATAAAATATCTTGTATGTTGTCATGTTATGGGGTCAAGTTGATCCTTAAGTATCATTTCAAGGTCAAATTAAATTTTCACTCAAATCTCTGTAGTTATGAATGTTTAAAAAAATTCAGATTATTCTATTTTTAGCGCTATACAGGAATAACGACGTGTACATACGTAGTAGAATTCTGTTCCCTTTGGGGTGCTTGATTAACGTGAGTTTCTTTACCTCTCATGATCGATGCTAATCCGGCTAGTAAAAGCAAGATCGAGATTGATCCGGCTAGCAAAAGCAAGATCGAGGCTGATCCGGCTAGCAAAAGCAAGATCGAGGCTGATCTGACTAGCAAAAGCAAGATTGAGGCTGATCCGGCTAGCAAAATCAAGATCGAGGTTGATCCAGCTAGCAAAAGTAAGATCGAGGTTGATCCAGCTAGCAAAAGTAAGATCAAGGTTGATCCAGCTAGCAAAAGCAAGATCGAGGTTGATCCGGCTAGTAAAAGCAAGATGGAGACTGATCCGGCTAGTTCATTTCTTAGCTTTCATGTTCAAATTGATCTCCTTCATTATCTAAACACAAAGTCAATTTCTGCCTGAAATTTTGTACAACTTTTACAAATATTTCTTGTGTAACTGTACGACAAGCTCTTCTTTTTCTATTCATCATGTCAGCTCTTGTTGTTGGAGCTACTTGATACACAAAATCTTTTGCATATCTTCAAAAGTAAAAATCAAGAGAGTTCAAGTCAGGAAACCACAATACTGGACCGTTGCGCATGATCAGACGATCCTGATACCGCCGTCGATAAATCTGCTAACACGTTGATAGTAATGAACAGGAGCACCATCCTGCTGGAATCACATTCTTTGTCGAACATCTAAGGGGATTTCCTTCAAGAAATCAGGTAAGGAATTTCGGAGAAAATCTAAATATATTTTACCATTGATCGTTTGCTCAAAGAAATGTGGTCCAATAATATAGCCATTTAATATCCCTATCCATACGTGAATACTCTATTGGTGCTGATTCATTTCTTCTCTCATCCACTGAGGATTAACAGGCGACCAATAATGACTATTATGCATATTCAGATTGCCAGTACTATGAAATGTAGTTTCATCACAGAAACAAACAAACGAAAAAAAATCTGGATTTTCATTTAATGTATTCAGGGCCCATCTATAAAAATTGACTCTCAACAGTCGATCATTCTCACTCAGTTCTTCAAGTGTAATATAGTAGGGATGATAATTAACGGAATGCAACAAATGATGAGCGGTTGATTGAGGAATTCCTAATTCACGTTCGATGTGCCGAGTACTAATGTGAGGATTCAGATGAACCATATCCAAAATGGCGAGAAGCCTTGGGTCATTATTATTATTGTTTCTGTTTCGCTGTCTCTGGTGACGATTTACTATTTCACGAGATCTTCTTTCAATATTTATAATTTATTGCGGGCCTGGATGACAACGATCGGGATAATATTCAGCATAAAGACATGAAGCATTTTTGTAATTTCTATGGCTTTCGCCAAGAACTAACAAAATATCAACTACCTCACTTGGCGCATAGTTTGCCATGGTACAAATTCGTATTCAAATGCAAGATAGTTGAGAGTTATTGATCATGAATGAGAATCTGCAAAATGATAAGGAATATTGTTTTCCGCACGTGGACCTTGCTTACACTGCCCTCTCCCGGGAATATCAAAATAAGCAATTCAATGACACAAATATTATCCGCAAGTTGTGGAATTTTTTTGAAATG